TTTAGGAGGCATTGTTTTCCAGCTTCTTTCTCAGGTAAAGCGTACTCTGTTTAATTTGTATAGTAGGGGATTTAAAGCTGAGAAAAAAGATTCAAGCAGCAAGAAAGAGTTTGTTGCGGCATTTCGTGAGTGCTTTTCAAGGCTTGGAGAATTGCGGTCTCTCGCAAGTAAAAAGCCTTTGTTGCCAGTTTTAGTCTTGACTGCAGCAGCCAATATCCAGTCAAGAAAAACAATCGAAGAGTCACTTTGCTTACGACCTAGCTGTATTCGTATATTTATCAGCCCAAACCGTGAAAACATATACTTAAATCGACTGAGGGTAAACTCCAATGTAAGCCAGTCATTCAATTGGCTTTTGAAAAAGATCAGAGAAGATGGTATTCATATGGAAAAGACAATTGTTTATTGCAAGTCTATAAAGGACTGTGGCAGACTTTTTATGCATTTTAAAGTGAATTTGGGAAATGACAGCTTTCACAAGAATAAAGTACATTCAAAAAACCTTCTGTTTGCAATGTACCATCATTCAACCCTCTCCAAAAACCAATCTCAAGTGTTAGATTCATTCCTTGATGAAGAGGGAACTTGCAGGTTGATTTTTGCCACAAATGCATTAGGGATGGGAGTAAATTTTCCAAATGTGAGGCACATTATACTCTATGGTCCACCTAGAGAAATGGAGGAACTGGTACAGCAAGTAGGACGTGCTGGAAGAGACTGGGAACCTGCGACAGCATTATTAATGTTCAATGGACAGAAAACAAGGAACTGTGATCAGCAAATTAAGAACCTCTGCAATGACACTGGCTGTTTGAGGGAAATGATGCTGGCTGACTTCGATGTAAGTAACTTTCCCAACTTCAAAACCCACAAATGCTGCATAAATTGTCACATGGAGTGTTTATGTGACAAGGGTAAACTATGCAGGGAACCTTTACCTGTTATCAATCTGAATGAAGGTGAAGAAAAACCTGTCATGACAAGAGAAGTAAGTCACAATGAAATGGAGGTTCTTCGAGAGATTCTTGAAGATTATAAAGAAGAATTCTCAACAGAATTTAAATGTTTCCTTGGCGTTGATGGACGCAATTTGTTTGTTGATGCTCTAACAAAGAAGGTATTAAAGCATTGCAAGTTCATCTTTGATAAAGCTTATATCTTGGAAAACTTACCTGTATTTACAAACAGTCAAGCAATGGATATTCTTTGTATGATGAATGATGTGTTTCAAGATGTGGACAAAGGTGAAATCGATATTGATCAATGCGCTCGGCTAAATACAGCACTAAACATGTCTGTCGATGAGCTAGATATAAGTACATTTTTAGAGGAACTTAGTGATGACTATGAAATGTCATCTGATGATAATTCAGAGTAAGATTGATTCTTAAACCAAAACAGTATATAATGTATTTAATAGTTTTTGCCAATACCACAGAAAGCAAGAAATAACATGATAGCTTTTCAAGCGGTAAAAATATATTTTTTTCATAAAATGCTGTGCGATTAAGACCCTGCTTAGTTAAGCTGCATGTGCTAATAATTGCAAGAACTGTGTGTGCCTGACCCACAATTGAAAGTATCACGAGATTGATACAATTCAAATTAAACAAATCTCATACTCTTATTGGTTCATTTGTGGGTTAAGTACACACAATAACCTTTTTGTTGTTCACTTTTACTGAAATAATTGAAGTTTTGCACATTTAGATGGAGCTCTGCACATGTTCTTGCAATTCATGTTGGTTGTGCCATATATAAGCACTCAAAGCAAACAATTATATTCAGACTAAGAATGTACTAATTTAAAAGGAGAATAAGGTTGTCCTTTCTACATTGAGTGTATATTTATTTTAACAAAAAAATTCAGTAATCATGTGAACCCTGATAGGGAGACCACTCAAGGACTAAAAAAATAAATCTTCATTGGAAAATTTCATTGATCTTTATAAAATTTAATAGTAAAATTTGCATTGCATCAAAATTTTCAGTCGGAAAAATCATATTTACTACTGCATAGGGTCACAGCATTATTTATGTTTATACTTCAAAACAAGAGGGAACAAAACCCTTGACCATGAACAATATTCAGTGTTAACAAAAAATAAGCAATTTTTGTACCATTCAATAGTAACATAGTTTATCATGATGTATTATCTACAAGTATAAACTATTAAAGTACCACTTGACCAAAATCTATTGAAATTTATATGAAACTATAACTGCAATTTTCACGCAAAATGACAGGTCATGGTAGTACTAACATAGTGGCACTAAAACATTTTTGTTTTCAAGCTCATTAGAATAAAAAACCCTCAATGAAATTCTGAAGATAGGCATGACGTCATACAAATCAAACTGGCAATGATGCTTAACATTTAAAAACATTAAAACTCAAAGCCAGTTTAAACTTACTTAATTTGATGTACGGTAAGCAGTTATTTACTCTACACCAATACATGTTTTACTGTATGATGAATTAAATACAGTTTAAAGTGTATTTGGTGAGTGGGCTTCTGTTAAATTTAGGAAATGCATGGTGTTCTCGTCCCTCCACACAATTTTCTACAAATACTTCAGCTTTGCTGTGGAGCTCATTAACTATGGTCAGGAAACCTGCCTCTGATCGTGTAACTGTGTGCCGGCCTGATGGATGGCGTACATTGAGGTTGGAATCGATGGATGAGAATAAATCTTGGACACCCTTGATTGCCTTGCTACATCGTACAGCAGCCGGTTCATGCAAATTTGCACCAAGATTGCCCAGCATTTCTTTTTTAAGGTGTATAATATGCTCCATGCGCAGATCAAGGGATATGTTGATACCGGCGCTCCCCTTATTGTTGACAGTTCTGTTCCAAATTAAACTATGTGCCTTTTCAGGTGACAGCATAGCTTTGGTATTTGCTAAAAGCTGTAAAGCAGCCAATGAATACTTAGTGTGGCCGTGAGCTTTAAAAAGCAGTAACATATACTTCCAGCATAGTAAAATCCTTGCACCATCTCCCTCCTTGACAGCATCATTGAAGTTATGGATAAGCATCCCAAGACTTAAACGCACACAAGCATAATTGTAGACATAGTCTTGCTTTACCTCAGTCTTTTTAGACTTTTTTGGATTCTTGGATTTTGAATTAGATCTGGCATCACTTAAAACTATGTTGTGTACATCCCTCAAGTGATTGTCCCAACATTTCTCATATACATATATAATTCCACATTCACTGCATGGGAAAGTTGGTCTTTGCTTTGGTCGATTTAGGTTGTCAACTTCCTTTGCCATTTTATCATAGTCCTCTGATTGCCTCTTCATCACGTGTTTTTCAAGTATAGACTTAACTTCACCATGGAACCAATGCTGTTGCTCTTTCTTTGGTGCTGAACGTATTGCATCTGGGACGAATGTATCATCAATGGATTTCATCTCAAAGTGAGTCATGGTGGCAGCAACTAAATATGCCTCAGTTTCAATATCCACAAACTCTTTGCAATAATTGAAGTTGTCAAGAACATTATTTGTCTTTGCATTCACATTATTCGTGATGTTCATGTTAGAACACATTGTCCCTTGATCTGTTGCAGATGATGGCTTATAAAGGATATCATACAAAATCTACAAAGAGAACAAATTGATACCTTTATTGAACACATCAGAGTTACATAATTTGTTGCAGTTGTATTTTCCTTTACATATATAGGAGCTTTTATTTGGTTTGAGAATGGACCTATTTGTAAAATGGCTGCCGGATTAATATTCTTTTGTGTAAATTTAAATCAGCCTTACTGGCCTCGTTCTCCAAAGAATACAACATCTCAATAGAGGCATATGAGGCTAATTTAAATTTGAACAAAAGAATATAAATCCAGGCGCCATTTTTCAAATTGGTCTATTGCATTGTCCATCAAGAGATACGACAAGTAAAAGCTCAAAACTCCAAAATATACCTTACCTGATATATCAATCGTATTGAATGCCAGTCTTCATGCTTGCTTTTGACACCCTCTAATCTGTCATACTCTGTATCTGCATCTGCTCTGGCATCCTTGCAGTTTCTTGCCCTCTCTTCAGTAAGTTGGTCCCCTCCAAAAAATATAGATTCTGCAACTTCAGGTTCCAATTCGCCATCTTCTGTTCTTACCATCTTTGTTGGGACATAATGTGAGTGCACATGTTCCAAGATTTCAATCATCTCATCATTGAGATTTTCATTTTTAAAGAGTATACCGAGTGGTACCTGAACAATATAATGAAACATAATGATATTGATAGATATGTATATTTCTAAAACGTTTTTAGGGATAAATCTATTTTTATGGGATAAATCTATTTTTACGGGCTCACTTTCATTTGTTTAAGCTGCATAAATAATACTTAATATCATTGTCTTTTAAATAAAAATAAGTTCTTAACAATTGTGGCATTGCTGTGAGGTTGCAAGGGGGCACATGACTTTTCACATGATTTTAAATTAAAATGAGGAAAAATGTTTTATTGCTTTAAAATCTTTCTTCAAAAATGAACACTAACCCTACCCAAATATCAAGCGAGAACACCCCAATCAATTCAGAAATAAAATTGGAAATTCAAAAGTTAAGTTACCATTTCATTCAAAAAAAAAGTGAAGTCATTTTTTTTTAAATGATTTTATGTTTAATTATTTGTGCCAATAATGGCTACTAACCTGCACAGATTTTCTCTTCATCTCATTAGAAAACTCATGTGGAATGTGCTTCACAACCGTTCTTTTCAGGCACTGAAAGTCAGGAACTCTTTTCACTAAAATTCTGGCAACTAGAAGAATAAAGTTCTGTAGAAGCTGGTTGTTATCTTCTGTTGAAGGAAGGAACTCAGAATTTTCAACACTTAAAATAGGCCTTTGTTGTTGCTGTTTGATATCTGTACTTTTCATGGTAGCTCGATCTTGTACTGCATTCATTGCAAACCAGTGTATGCTTTTATTCTGGTTGTTACTTGACATGTGCTTTGGCCTCACGAATTTATCTAGGTTGTCACCCAATATTTGGTAAGTTTTTGGACGATTTGCTAGTTGTGAAGATTTTAGCAAGGAAACATCTTTTTTACTCAGTGTACTAACTTCAAGACCTTGAGAGTGTACAAAATTATTGAAAATATCAACGAGACTCTCAGAATAACCACACTTGTTTATAAGAAAGCAGTTGACATCGTTCTCAGGAGACTTTAAATCCTTAGTGCTTTCACGATATTCTGTGTAGTCATTGAGAAAGTCTTCCATATCTAAAAGATCACTGTTTGTCGACTGGCCATCAACATCACTGCATAGTACATTCTGATCATTGGTGGAGGTTTGTGGGAATGTAAGGGATAGACAACTCACATCAGTCGTTTGACACCCTACTGGGATCTGCTCTTTATCCTTTGCATCTACATATTCAGCAACTTGTTCCAACGCTTCATTAATAAGGTGGTTTTTCTCAAGTTCACATTTCCAAGTTTTGACAGCTTCGTCAAAGTTGAAGCCCATCTCATCCAGTTTCTCTAATGTGCAGGTGTGACTAACAGATATTCCCCAGTGGTTTGCTCGCACATATCCCTGCAGATTATAATACAATTGTTTTATTCATAAAGCAGAATTAGAAATAAACTGAAACTATTATCATATAGTTTTGGTAACTATCCATAAAGTAATTGGTATCTGAGCCTATATTATGTAGACGAGTTTGGATGAAGGGCTCATAACAAATAGTGCAGGAGGCTGCATTGTGTATAGTATTTCTCTCCCATTAAACATAAAATTTAGAAAAATACCTTCTTTTTGGCACCACTATCCCATAACACTCCAAGGGCAAATCTGTAGGCAATGGCAGACATTTGTGGGCATCTCTGCTTCACAAGTATGGATGTTGCTAATGATATCGGAGCAGCTAACCTAGCCTTTTTTCTTTCATTCTCTTTCTTTGTGTAATCGCTTGCAACGTTATACAAGCAACCATATAAAATTGGTGCCTTTCCTTTCAGTTCCTCTTCACATGTGCTGTCTGAAAATTCGATCAAATCGCTTGCTTTCGTTTTTCTCAGTATCGATGGATCTTTGGTGCTGCATAGTGCACTTGATTCTTTGTTTATCTCCACGTAGATCTTGTCGATTATCTTAGTCTTGAGTTCGGGATGCTTCCACACAGAATTTATCACTCCGTTGTATTCTTGTGAACAAATTTGTCTGACAATGCTGGCATCAATTTCTGCGCTAATTATTTTCTTAACTAGCCCAGACGGATAGTAAATGCGTACCTAAGAAGAGAAGCAAAGAAAATCAATAATATTCCCACATACTTCTAGCAACATACAATAACTGCAAACTTCTCACCTCCGTAGGTGACGCATTCCGAGGTTGCCCT